GGTAGACGTACATGTACGTGATTTTTTTTTTTCTGCTAGCGGGCGCGTGCAAGCAGAATCCCGCCAGGATGTTTTATACAAAGCGTTCGGCCGGCTTTATAGCTGGCCGATCGCTTGTATAACCCTAAATTGTGCTCCCCCTCTTCCATAGCTGCTGCTGGTTATCCCAGGCACCGCTGTCCCCTCTGCGGTGCACGCGACTGTGAACACTGGCACAGCGGCTGCTTGAAGAGAGGAGGAGGAGAGATCAGCATTTCCCCCACCGCTCATCTCTCCCCCTTCTCTCTCTCTAAAGTCGGAAGCGATGTGTATTACGTCACTTCCGCCTTTAGCTGTCATTTCTCTGGCTGAGAGCAAGAGAAGAAGCCGATGAAGCAGATCTGTGCTTCATCAGCTTCTTTGGGGGTCCCTAGGTGACATTAGGGGTCTTGGGGACCCCTAATGTCTCCATAAAGAGGACCTGTCATGGTTTTCTAGCTATCACATTGGGGGATTTTTAGCCCCCCCTATGTGATAGCAATCAAGGTAAGTGTAAAAAAAAAATTAGTCTCGTATTTAAAAAAAAAAAAGAAGTTTTACCATAAGTCCCCCATGTGCACGCACATATAAACATAAATACGCGTCGGGTGCGCCTACATGCAAAAACAACGATTGCGCCACACGTTACATATGGCCGTGAACGTCGCAGTGAGAGCAATAATTCTAGGCCCATCAATAACTGATAACACTAAACTAATGAGCTTTAAAAGCTTTTAAAGCGTCGCCTATGGCCAATTTTGGGTATTGTAGCTTTTTGCGATTTTGCGGGCGCATTTAATTTTAAAACTTGACATGTTTGGTGTCTGTTTACCCGACATGACCCCGCCTTTTATATTTTACCAACAAATTGGGTAATAATAAATGTTTTATAACACAACATAAGTTTTTTTTTCAAATTTCGGTCCTTTTTTTAATTATATAGTAAAAAATAAAACCACCAGTGGTGATTAAATACCACCAAAAGAAAGTTCAATCTGTCCCCAAAACAATTTGTTTCGATACAGTGTTGCATGACGGAATAAATATCAGTCAAAGTACCGCAGCGATGAGTACTGAAAAATGGCCGGGACAGGAAGGGGGCAGCAAGTGGTTAATAAAACAAACTGAGCAGAACAATATATACAGAAAAAGATGTTACATAAAAGAGAGACAAATAATACAGCAGTACTTAGCAAAGTCCCGGATTCTATGAGTTACAGCAGAGTCCAGTCAATGAAACAGAAGATGGATCTGGATTGGCCTGTTTTTCCCGAAGTAGGGCAAAGGTTAGGTTGAACCTTGATGTTAATGAGCTTTGCTTGATGGTCAACAAGAGCTTCTTCACAATGGTAAAACAAGAGCTGCCCTGCTGCCTTGTGCAGCAGCTTTTTGTGGTCGCTCTGGGGAGTGTCACTGAGCCAGCCCATCACCCCATCAGAACATCTCAGGGGGGCTGTGACAGGAGGCTACTGGGCTTTACAACCTCTCCCTGCCCCTCCCAGAATGTCATTACACAACAGTAGCTATATTTTGATGTACTCACATTTTACCATTTTGATTAACAAAATAATTTTGTGCGTTATAAAATAAGCTTTGTATAGATACCAGACTGATGAGCTGAGTATGACTTTGTGACATATGAATTGAGTATGTCTGGATTAAAAGAGTTAATTTGGGTCTCTAGCATTCTAGACCTTCTAAACCCACCGTGCCTGGTATGCTTGTGATCAGACCAGACAAAATGAAACATGCAGTATTTGTATGGTCCGGTCTGGTACAGACTGTGCTGGTGTGAACAGAGGCCAGAAATAGCATAGGGATACATTTTGGGTCCAGAAACATTCTGGTCTGGAGATGATTTGGATGTGGTGTGAATGGGCCCTAAGGTTTAAAAGATATGTGGACCCTGAGAATGTACTTCTCTTGTTTGGTCCTATGTGGTCTGTTAAAAAATACCATAAAAGTGTTTTGTTATTTCTGTCCAATAACTACAAAAAAAGAAAGAAAAAACTGTTGATCCTGCCAGTAACCATGTTATCTGATAACTTTTGATGTTGTTTGCTGCAGCGCAAAGAGTGTGTTGATAGGAGGAGACAGCGACAGCAGAGAGATCCCCTTTCTCCTGATTTTGTTTGCAGACATGTGGGGTTGTGTAACTATGGTACTTACTGTACGGTGTCTCGGTGGACATGTTTTTGCTTGTGATTGCATTAAAGCTGAACTCCAGGTACGCAGTATTCTGCATACTTACATTGGTCCAGCTTGGCACTGTGCAATTATATAGATGGCATACCTGATCAGCCACTGAAGATCGAGTACAGCACTGTAATAGCCGGAGCTACTACAATGCTGGTCGCAATGTTCCTGGTCCTGTGCTGACTGGCTTTCCATCTGCTCTGAAGACACAAGGGGTTGCTCGCTCAACACAGTAGTAATCCTGGGAATGCTTAATGTATATAAATTAATGCAAGACGTTCTCTGATTGGACGAGGAGAGGATTGTGAAGCCACCACCCCTTGTCCACAGTTCTTCATTTAACGCTATTGTACTTATTAGGACTATTCTTCTGGCTTTGGGAGTCTGAAGCCACCAGAGCACAATAAAAATAAATTGAAGTGTCACAAAAAAGCTGAGAGGAGAGCTCAGTCACATGACCTGTTATTAAAGTCAGATGACTGGCTCTACACTATTCACAGAGTTCTCCCTGTTGCTATAAGTTCTATCACCTCTTCATTATAAATTGTGCCAATGTCTCTGATTGAAACTTTGATACAGAGATGCTTTAAAAAGGATGGGGAGAGGGGGGAGGAGTCACATCACTCTGATGCATTCAGTTCTGTATGTTAAATTGCATCTATACCTTTGCATAGAGTGGTGAGAAGTTAAGACCTCTGTCAGGTTTTAATGGCTATCTGTGCCCCCATTTGGGATATGTTCCCTCTATGTCTGGATGGCTATAGTGACCAAAGCAGAAAGTGATGGAAAATGCAAACTTTTACAATTGCCAACCAGAACCATGAGCAAATCTTCTAAATGGGGACACTGGGAATTCTCCTGTGTCCTTCCACTTCTGGTTGCATCTCTGTGACAACAAGTAAAGGGAAATCTCCCTAATGGGACACAGACACCGACAAAATTAACAAGGGTTTTAATCCGTTCTTACTCTATCAAAAACTAAAAATTTGGTCTATACATGTACTTTAATTTCAGCTTGAGTTATTGAGCTGTGTAAACAACAGGTCTTTCTCATCAGGGTTGCCAAGGAGATTTGGGACAACATGTGAAAATCAGTCAAGATTTGGCTGCTTAAGAAAATACAAAATATTCAAATGCAATATTTCATATTAAAATGAATAATATTATGAGGAAACTATCCTATACTGGGCTATAATATGTCATTGGAGTGAAACATTTCACAAGGCTTGATATCAGGCTGGGTATAGTTTTTGGCATTTCTTTTTATTAACAACAAATTTTTACAATCCATTGAAGAAATTACAAACAATCTGTACAATTGTAGGTTTAATATATTTTACATGTAATAACAAGTAACAAATAGTATATGTACACATTTTCCTACATAATCTAGTAGATCAAAATCTATTTTTACAACACAACATATAAAAGATAATTGAAACGGTCAGCTTATACTATGGTATGTTCCATGAATTGTAATGAAGAATCCTGTTCACCCTCAAAACTCACATAAAAAAAACATATAAAGAAAACCATTAAAAATCCTTTATGTGACCCTTGTGGAATTCTACTGTCATTATAACCATATTGATAATCAGTTGCCTTATTGACAACCAATGTTATGCTCAGCTGTTGCTGCCCTCTAGGGGCATTCTGATATTGTACCTTTCAGTATACTAAACCCTTAGTATATAATTTTCCCTTTTGTATACGGGGTGTGATGCAATGCAACTCCCTCTTCGCCTTACTTCTAAAACTGGGCATACAAGGAGCAGTTGCTATCTGATACCCGTTCCTACACCTACAACGTTTCCGCAGTTGCGATCCACTGGGGGTAATTAACCCTTGCTAGGGGTGAGCGTTACATGCTTGAATAAGAACTCTTGAGGAATATTTGAGAAACTCTTGCGCAGCAGTTTTGGAACGGTTGAAGAACTCTTGAGGAAAAGTTGAGGAATTGTTGAGGAATTGTTGAGGAACAGTTGAGGAAAGGTTGAGGAACAGTTGAGGGAACAGTTGAGGAACTCTTGAGGAATGGTTGAGGAACGTTTGAGGAATGCTTGAAGAATGCAGATTGGCACACAGAAGAAACTAGTAAGATGTGACAAACCATAGTAAACCTCACATATAGTGCCAACTCTTTTTAAGTTAAGCCAATGCAGATGCAGCCAAACAAGACATAGTCCACAGAACATCACAACAAGCAGGAAAGAATCTGCAATTACTTTTCTCCAGACGTCCCTGCAATGGATATAATGAACTTGGTGCAGATTGTTTTTTTTCTCAACAAAAGTGTACATTCATTTCATTGGGACAGTTTTTACAAACTTCCATGTGGGTCAACCATGATCTTTGATGGGCTTGGCTTTGTTCTAGCTACGAGGTATAGCGCAGATCTCATGCGGTAAGGGGGCATTTGTGAACCCTATTGCAGGGGTCAAGTCCAGATCAACACCAGAAGGGGCCTGGAAGGTGAAGTTTTGCAGCAATGTTGTAAAAAACAAAAACAGCTCCATCTTGGCCAGGTTTTCTCCAGCACAGCTTCTCTTACCTGGTGAAGGAAGGAAAACAATGAAACTTACCTCAGTGCTAACATTTGTAAATGCTGTCAAAGTGCAAGTTACCAAACTATCTGAAATTACGTGCTTTATGCTGGTCCAAATTGCTCAAAATTGAGTGACTTCTTATTCATACAACACAGAGTAGGTCAGAGATGGAAGTCCCACCTTCCATCCTGAATGCTCCATCCAACAATCCCAGGCTCAGTGAGGAGACAGGTAAACTCCGGAACCACTGGTGATGGGGCCTGGGTGGAGGAATGAGTTGCCACTTGTTGATATACTTAATACCAATCTATATACTTGTGGATATAAATGGGGTATATTCCTGGCACTCATTAGAACTGAAGAAGGGTCTTGGATAGGAATGCACCGATACAGTTTTTTTACGGTATCGAGTACGAATACTGATATTTTGCTTTCAGTACTCGCCGATACCGAGTACCAATACAGGTGCTTCCACTGGCATGGAGCCAGCTTCCCGGGGAATCAGGAAGCCGGGCGGCGGGTAATGATGGCTCCATGTTGTTTGGCCGGCTCGATTGGGATTGACCGGTAAACGGCTTCCCAGCCAATCAGCATTGATCCTGGCTCCATGTTCCCCTATGGCACTGCCGGTTAGAGGAAATCTTCCGGTATCGGAGAAGGTGTTGGAGCATTTGGGCGAGTACGAATACCCTATCCCTAGTCTTGGAGAAGCTATGAAATGTCTTCAACATGGCAGAACAAGTCTAGCTGAATGAGACTTTTACCAGCTAACTCACTTTTCACCACACTGGTATCTTACTGGTTACTTGCATGACCCAACATCATCAAACACCTGCTGCCAAGGAATATTACCTAGTGAGAATGGTATAAATGCCTCATTCTTCTTCAAATTTCCTTCCGAATCCAGGAAATGTTCGGGGTAGAATTCATCTGGTTTTTCAAAGTAAGCTTTATCTCTAAGGACAGAGGTCAGCAATGGAATGATGGTGGTTCCCTGTGGGAAAAACTCAATAATATCATTTATACTGTATGAGCTTGTCCTTAAGTGTTAGTATGATAGTAAGTTCATTTTCAAGTGTATGTATAGCTAAACTTTTTTTTTAACTTTTGGATAGAGAAGGGAATTGTTAAGGCTGAACACTTGGACAAGCAAGTATTGTCTAAATCAGTGGTTCTCAACCTGTGTAACCTCAGGACCCACATTTGTCCTTGGTAATTAAGTCGTGACCCAAGTCGCACTGCAATGGAATGCGTGGCATTGCTGTACCGGGCATTTGGGTGCAGGAGACCGGACTGTGGGTTGGAGGTTCGTTTGGGGTGTCATCAAATTAATGGGAATGCAACGCACGTTCCACACCAGAACACGCTTTAGGTGCAGTTGCGTGGTACAGGGAATTCATCGCTTGGGACTTTGTGATTAACGCACTGTACTAGTGTGAACGCACCCTTAAACACTGACAGACACAATCTCACACACACACACACTCCCCCAAAAATTATATATTTTTTTCTTTTTTTTTAAGGTCCACCCACTCCCTACCATACGAGAACTGGAATGGATCCTGAGTCTGGGGTCCAGCGTGGGCAGCTGTGCTGTGACGGAGCTCCATCCATATGTGCATTGTTTGTACAGCTCCCTTGCTCGCCCTGTAGAGATGCCAGGAGCCAGAATGTGACGTCCGTGCAGTCCAGGCACCTCTACATGGCACATGTGGGAGCTGTAAGCTATCTAGATATAGATGAAGCTCCCTGATGGCCATACTTCCAGCCCACCTCACCTCAAGCTGACACACAGGACCTATTTTGAATGGCTGCTCTGCACAAGAACTGACGGTGCTGCGCTGGGGGAGGCTGAGGAGTCTCTCACTTAGAAGGAAGGCATGTCACGACCCACTTTTAACATGACTGTTATGGAAATTCACTTGGTTCAACGCACAAATCCATGTCGCATTAAGCTGCGCCAAACGCAAAGAATTTCCCCCGTTGTACTACGCTCCTTTATGCAAGGACTGGAAGTATCCCCTTCTATAGAGTCATGTAGAGTCAGGAGACAGATGTTGCTTGCTCGATAATCCCATGCTAAGAGACCTGAGCGCAGGTGTGTTTATTGTTTATACCTGCCCAACAGGAAGTGATGTCAGACAGGAAGGGGTGTCTCAAACAACGAGACAGGAAGTGATGTCAGACAGGAAGTGAACAGGAGTCAGCTAACAAATCACATGTAGTAACAATCAATGACCACCGGAGTGACTTTATCCAGCGTTGCTCAGTGAGCAATGCCACATAACGTTACTAGGATTCTCATGCGCGCTCATTCACAGGGACAACATTATATCATCTCAAGCGTGTTGATCAGGCACCCCAGAGAGGACAAACGCACGTTCCTTTCATATACTGCGTTCAAGACAAATGTATCCACGCAAACCAATAAATCCATGCATTGCACGGGGGGCCCCAGCCGGCGTCCATACATTCGCCAAGAACACACTGCTCCGCTGCGCATAAGAAATCTCCTCCAATGGATTAATCCCCCAGCGTCTATTTACCGAGACACTGAGAGACTAATGACAAAACATTACAATACACTAAAAACACATCCTAATACAATTCCCACAACATGACCCACCAGTTGAGACCCAACGGTCTAAATACAAGCAATATGTGAATTCTTCATTGAACCTTGGTGAGCTATAACTTGGTGAGTTATAGAGAAGGTGTTAGTTGTTAAAATCAGGACCTAGGGTGACACTGCTGCTTCTACAAAATCAGTACAATGATTGATGGTTGTCACTCTAGGGCAGGAAGTGTGTTATTGGCAGGTTTTACCAAGTGAAAATAAAAGAAATAAAGCCTGAAAAAGAAAACTAATGCAGCCGCCACATCTATGGACTGGTAACCTACAATAGACTATGTATTCCTTAGATACACTTGCAAAAACAAACAAACAGACCGCACCTTGTCCTCGTGTAATGCCGTTTATTAATCAATGAACATACAAGCTGACATAAAATACTACTCACATGGTAATCACTGAATGAATAGTACAAGGCAGACCCCACACAAAGCTGCCTTGCTAGCTGATGCATTTCGGGGAATATACCCCTTCCTCAGAGCTCTGAGGTAATCACACGGTAATCACTGAATGAATGGTACAAGGCAGACCCCACACAAAGCTGCATTGCTACTGACGCGTTTCGGGGAATATACCCCCTTCCATTCATTCAGTGATTACCATGCGAGTAGTATTTTATGTCAGCTTGTATTTTCACTGATTAATAAACGGTATTACACGAGGACAATGCACTGATTAATAAACGGTATTACACGAGGACAATGCACTGATTAATAAATGGTATTACACGAGGACAATGCACTGATTAATAAATGGTATTACACGAGGACAATGCACTGTCTGTTTGTGGCCTTTTGATGACGGCAGCCTGCAAACGATTGTTGGTGGAGAATATCATTGGGAGTCTGCTGAGCGCTGTGGTGTGTATTTTTTTGGATCCTTAGATACACTGTAATTTTTCTTTTGTATTTGTTTTGCGTTACATTCCTACTGCAATGGGTAAGTACAAAGTATATTATTACATAGTTACATAGTATTTGAGGTTGAATAAAGACATAGGTCCATCAAGTCCAACCTATTGTGTGTGTGCATTTATGAGTTGATGTGTGCGTGTATGAGTCCATGCGTGATTTTTCTGTTAGCTATACCTGTACCCCTGAATGTTCTGGTCACCCAGGAACTTGTCCAGGAGTCTCTTGAATGATTCCACACTCTTAGCTGAAATCGCTTCCTGTGGCAGCGAGTTCCAAACCTTAACCGCTCTAACTGCGCCCTGTGTGTTGAAATTTTTTTTCCACCAATTTTTGGTTGTGCCCTCTGGTCTTTTTTACAGAGCTGACTGTAAACAGTTTGTTACTGAGGTTGCTGTCACCCTTGAATAGTTTATACATAAAAATCATGTCCCCCCTTAATCTCCTAACCTCCAACGAGAACATATTTAATTTTAACAACCTTGTTTCATAGCTCAGATCCTCGAACCCCTTAATTCTGTTATGGAAATTCACTTGGTTCAACGCACAAATCCATGTCGCATTAAGCTGCGCCAAACGCAAAGAATTTCCCCCGTTGTACTACGCTCCTTTATGCAAGGACTGGAAGTATCCCCTTCTATAGAGTCATGTAGAGTCAGGAGACAGATGTTGCTTGCTCGATAATCCCATGCTAAGAGACCTGAGCGCAGGTGTGTTTATTGTTTATACCTGCCCAACAGGAAGTGATGTCAGACAGGAAGGGGTGTCTCAAACAACGAGACAGGAAGTGATGTCAGACAGGAAGTGAACAGGAGTCAGCTAACAAATCACATGTAGTAACAATCAATGACCACCGGAGTGACTTTATCCAGCGTTGCTCAGTGAGCAATGCCACATAACGTTACTAGGATTCTCATGCGCGCTCATTCACAGGGACAACATTATATCATCTCAAGCGTGTTGATCAGGCACCCCAGAGAGGACAAACGCACGTTCCTTTCATATACTGCGTTCAAGACAAATGTATCCACGCAAACCAATAAATCCATGCATTGCACGGGGGGCCCCAGCCGGCGTCCATACATTCGCCAAGAACACACTGCTCCGCTGCGCATAAGAAATCTCCTCCAATGGATTAATCCCCCAGCGTCTATTTACCGAGACACTGAGAGACTAATGACAAAACATTACAATACACTAAAAACACATCCTAATACAATTCCCACAACATGACCCACCAGTTGAGACCCAACGGTCTAAATACAAGCAATATGTGAATTCTTCATTGAACCTTGGTGAGCTATAACTTGGTGAGTTATAGAGAAGGTGTTAGTTGTTAAAATCAGGACCTAGGGTGACACTGCTGCTTCTACAAAATCAGTACAATGATTGATGGTTGTCACTCTAGGGCAGGAAGTGTGTTATTGGCAGGTTTTACCAAGTGAAAATAAAAGAAATAAAGCCTGAAAAAGAAAACTAATGCAGCCGCCACATCTATGGACTGGTAACCTACAATAGACTATGTATTCCTTAGATACACTTGCAAAAACAAACAAACAGACCGCACCTTGTCCTCGTGTAATGCCGTTTATTAATCAATGAACATACAAGCTGACATAAAATACTACTCACATGGTAATCACTGAATGAATAGTACAAGGCAGACCCCACACAAAGCTGCCTTGCTAGCTGATGCATTTCGGGGAATATACCCCTTCCTCAGAGCTCTGAGGTAATCACACGGTAATCACTGAATGAATGGTACAAGGCAGACCCCACACAAAGCTGCATTGCTACTGACGCGTTTCGGGGAATATACCCCCTTCCATTCATTCAGTGATTACCATGCGAGTAGTATTTTATGTCAGCTTGTATTTTCACTGATTAATAAACGGTATTACACGAGGACAATGCACTGATTAATAAACGGTATTACACGAGGACAATGCACTGATTAATAAATGGTATTACACGAGGACAATGCACTGATTAATAAATGGTATTACACGAGGACAATGCACTGTCTGTTTGTGGCCTTTTGATGACGGCAGCCTGCAAACGATTGTTGGTGGAGAATATCATTGGGAGTCTGCTGAGCGCTGTGGTGTGTATTTTTTTGGATCCTTAGATACACTGTAATTTTTCTTTTGTATTTGTTTTGCGTTACATTCCTACTGCAATGGGTAAGTACAAAGTATATTATTACATAGTTACATAGTATTTGAGGTTGAATAAAGGCATAGGTCCATCAAGTCCAACCTATTGTGTGTGTGCATTTATGAGTTGATGTGTGCGTGTATGAGTCCATGCGTGATTTTTCTGTTAGCTATACCTGTACCCCTGAATGTTCTGGTCACCCAGGAACTTGTCCAGGAGTCTCTTGAATGATTCCACACTCTTAGCTGAAATCGCTTCCTGTGGCAGCGAGTTCCAAACCTTAACCGCTCTAACTGCGCCCTGTGTGTTGAAATTTTTTTTCCACCAATTTTTGGTTGTGCCCTCTGGTCTTTTTTACAGAGCTGACTGTAAACAGTTTGTTACTGAGGTTGCTGTCACCCTTGAATAGTTTATACATAAAAATCATGTCCCCCCTTAATCTCCTAACCTCCAACGAGAACATATTTAATTTTAACAACCTTGTTTCATAGCTCAGATCCTCGAACCCCTTAATGAGTTTGGTTGCCCTCTTCTGGACTTTTTCCAGCTCAAGGACATCTTTTCTTAGTATTGGTGACCAAAACTGGACCGCATACTCCAGATGTGGCCGAACCAGGGATCTATAAAGAGGCAAAATTATAGACTTGTCCCTGCAATACATTCCCTTCTTAATGCAAGACAGGACTCTGCTTGCCTTGTTTACAGCAGCCTGGCACTGCAAGCTGTTCTTCATTCTGCGGTCTATAATGACCCCCAAATCCTTCTCCATTTCAGACTTCCCTAGTTGCATACCCATGAGTGTATAGTCCATTTGCCTATTTTTAACTCCAAGGTGCATTACCTTACACTTATCAACATTGAACCTCATCTGCCATACAGTTGCCCACTCCCCAATCTTAACCAGGTCCTCCTGTAATGTTAAAATGTCTAAATCTGTGTCTACTGCCCTCCCAATTTTCGTATCATCAGCAAACACTGAGATATGACTTCTCACTCCCTCCCCTATATCATTAATAAATAGGTTAAAAAGCATGGGACCCAGCACCGAACCACTCACGACATCCGCCCAGTCTGAGAAAGTGCCATTAACTGATACCCTTTGTACACGTTCTCGTAGCCAGTTTTCTATCCACGTGCACACTAATTCATCAATGCCCATACCCCTTAGCTTGTATAACAAGCGTTTATGTGGCACAGTATCAAACGCTTTGGCAAAGTCCAGGTACACTACGTCCATTGTCCCCCCCCCATCCAGCTCTCTACTTACCTCTTCGTAAAAGGTCAGCAGGTTGGTCTGGCAAGAACGATCCTTCCTAAATCCATGTTGCCCATCACTTATTATATTATGGTCCCGGACAAATTCCACTAAGTAGTCCTTAATAATTCCTTCTATCAGTTTACACACTATGCATGTTAGACTAACTGGTCTATAGTTCTCCGGTTGGCATTTTGACCCTTTCTTGAATATAGGTACCACATTTGCCTTTCGCCAGTCTCCTGGCACTCTACCAGCCATTACTGATTCCTTAAAAATGAGGAACCAAGGTCTTGTTATCTCCTTGTTCAATTCTTTGAGTACCTTGGGGTGTAGATTATCAGGTCCTAATGCTTTATTTGCATTTAGTAGTTTGAGCCTTTGTTGTATCCCCGATTCAGTCAACCATTGCGGTGTATTTCCTGTTAAATTATGTGTTTTATCCTGTACATTAAACCCGTCTGTTTCCTTGGTGAATACCGACGAGAAGAAAGTATTTAGCGCCTCGGCCCTCTCCCTGTCGCTTGTGAGTAGTGAACCATTTATGTCCTTTATTTGGCCTATCTGTTCCTTTCTCCCCTTTTTACTGTTTATGTACTGAAAAAAATGTTTGGGGTTCTTTTTACTAACTTCGGCGATATATTTTTCACATTCAGTTTTGGCTGATCGCACTGCTAGTTTACATATTTTATTAAGTTCTTTGTAGTTTAGGAATGACGATATTGTCCCCTCCATTTTATACTTAGTAAATGCTAGTTTTTTGTCCTTAATGTGTTTCTTTACTGATTTACTTTGCCATATTGGCTTTGTTTTCGATCTTTTACATTTGTTCCCCAGCGGTATACACCTGGTTATAGCATTTTTTAGTTTGTTCTTGAAACAGTCCCATTTCTGGTCCAAGTTTAGTTTATCAAATAAGTTATCCCAATCGATTTCACCCACTATATTACACAGTTTATCAAAGTTCGCCTTCCTGAAGTTTAGGCTTCTTGTCCGCCCATCCCCCTTCCCTTTCTTGCAATCGATATTGAAAGCAATCACCTTGTGATCACTATTGCCCAATTTCTCCCCGATTACAACATCCTCGATTAGCCCCGTATTGTTGGTGATGATCAGATCTAGGATTGCATTTTCCCTGGTCGGGTCCTCAACCATCTGATCCATGAAATTGTCTCGCAACATATTAAGAAAACGGGCTGCCTTATCCGATTTCCCTGTGCCCAGTTGATATTTGGGTAACTGAAGTCACCCATTATCACAACATTACCCTCTTTCCCCGATATTTCTATTTGCGATTGTAGGTGGGCCTCCCCCTCCTCCCCCATATTTGGAGGTTTATAAACAGACACCCATAATAAGTTTACGGTTAGGGGTAGGGCTCGTTCTATCAAGTTCTATCCATAACGATTCCACATCATCTCCACCAGCTGACGCGATATAGTCACGGATCTGAATATTGAGGTTATTTTTAGCATATATACATACACCCCCCCCCTTCTTGCCAGCCTGTCCCTTCTGAACCGGTTGTACCCTTCTATGTTAGTAGCCCAATCATGTGTGTCGTCTAACCATGTTTCTGCTATTCCTACTATATCATAGTCCTCCTCGAGTAACATAACTTCACGGTCTTCTATTTTATTTACCAGACTTCTAGCATTACAAAGTCTCTGTTAGTAAAAAGAAAGAAAAAACGGTTGCCTCCCGCACCACAGAAATGTAAACAAGGGCTAAGAGTTCTGAATATGGTGTATGGTGCTGTCAACTAAAAGTGATAGGATAGTAATCAGACCCAGGAAAAAAAGTGAAATGGGGTTTTAAGGGCAAGCCAGGAATCATAAGCTTTATTCTCACCTTTGGAATGTTGTACCCTCTGAACGTGACATCTTCAGCAGTTGCATGTGGGACATTCAGAGGCACAATATCACCAAACCTCTGGATTTCATGAATGACGGCATCGGTATACGGCATTTGCTTCCTGTGCTCAGTCTGGGGTTCAGCCGATCCAATCACTCTGTCAATTTCATTATGGACTTTTTCTGTTCCGAAAGAGATCCATGTATAATTGTCAATGAAAGTGGCGGCACGCATTATAACAAAAACTCTCATTATTTCCGTTTACCAATATGTCCATTTTATATTGTTCCTGTGGATGCACCCAACATCAGATATATACACTCATGGGGCGCTTTAATAGGTACACCTCTTTAACTGCTTGTTAATACAAATATCTAATCAGCCAATCACATGGCAGTAACTCAATACATTTAGGCATGTAGACATGGTCAAGATGGTCTGTTGAAGTTCAAACCGAGCATTAAAATAGGGAAGCAAGGTGATTTAAGTGACTTTGAACATGGCATGGTTGTTGGTGCCTACCAGACATACTGGCGAGCTGGCAGCGTGCAGAGGAACCCACTGGCAAGAAGCGGCCGATGAGTCTGAGAGCGAGGTACAAAAGGGGCAATCCCAGGGGGTTGTCAAGGTCCAGTCAGGGTCGAGGCAGGCAGCAATGGTTCAGAGGCGATAGACAGTCCATGGGTTCAGCAATCAGGAAGTTCAAATGAGGGGGTTGGAGTCAACAACGAGATCCAACAGAGAGGCTAGGCGATCACTTCATCAGGTGGAATAACTCTGCAACAAGCCAGGGCTCTGACCAGGATTTTAAAACCAGTGAGAGCAAGACCACCCCCTGGTTGCTGGGGCAACAAGGAGACTTCCCTCCCCGGGAGCCAATGGCAAGGCGAGAAAGATGGAAGGCATGTGCTGGGAACCTCCCCCTGCAAGGCCCACACCTGACGATCCTAATGGGCGCAGGCACACTATGTGTGCAGCCTGTGCACCACGCGTGCGCGCCCGTTGCGCATTTCGCGCATGCGCACCCGCAATCCTGGAGTTCTGCCAGGCTGAAGGATGACCCGTGCCCTGCACCGTTCTGCTGGCCCCGAGGAGAGGTGACACCCCTGGTTCCCTGACAGTATCAGACCAGCTGGTCTGAGTATTTCAGAAACTGCTGATCTACTGGCATTTTCAAACACAAACATCTCTCGGGTTTAGGAAAAAAGAAAATAGCACTGCGCTTCAAACTCAAAAATTATATTCCTAAAATGTGAAAAAAATATTATAAACTGTGAAATTGTCACGAAGGGATACACAATTTTGTGTCATACACAACACCTGTGTTGCACAATGCCTGTGCTAATGATAGTAAAAAAAGAAAAAAAAAAAACGTGCTAGTACATCTCATAAAATGTGTACATATAGAAAATCCTGTGTTAAATCTCACAAGTGATGTATAACTCCCACTTAATCTACATAACCATGTGTGAAGTCTATTACTTCTGAATACAATAAAGTCCTTCTATGTGAGGATATATCTTCCTGCTTTTATAGTCAACACCAACGTCCGTGAATGCAAAAACAATTAGTGAATCAGTGCTCTCCAGTCTCCACCGTGCTCAAAGATAAGATCTGGCCGCACTCACCGACTCCTATTGCTCACCATATTTCAGATGAACAATTAGCGCTTTGCTGATATATATAGAAACGAATCCTCTCCTTTGTTTTTAATCCGACAATAAATTGGGGTAGATTCCTCCCAACTATGGCTTATCTTTCCAAAATCGTGTAAAACTATTCCTCCATCTTCCACCTTCTCTTGTGCTCAGAGAGAGAAAAAAAGGCTTCCCTTAGTGTAGTATGTCAGAATAAATTTATTTAAAACGATTAAAATGCACTTACAATTAAAATAAGGCAATTGTGTATGGATTGTGTCCACTGGAGCTCCTGTCTCTATGATCGTAATGCTCGCATAGATCCGCCCACCTGATGCATTTCGTCACTATTGACTTCCTCTGAGGCGACGGTCTGCATACGAGCATTACAAACTCCTTTCCTTTTTTATATCACACATAATGTAACTATGTAACTATGTAATGGTAATCAAATTCCTACCACTAGGTGTCCCCCCATTCAGGCTGCATTCTAGTGTGTATAATCTCTTTACCCCGTTTCAAACTGGACTCCATAATATATACCTACAGATAAAATCTTACAATACATAAAACATTTAACATTAAGGAGAGTTGAGGAGGATGCATACACAGGATATTCAATGGATACATGACATACATTAATTCCAGTCCTGAACAAACTGAATCCAATTTATCTATATATAAAATTGGCAACAAAAACACGTTAAAATATGTAGTAACAAAAAGCGGGGAGGGTCCATGTTGAACAAGGAGAACCATATAAACTGTATGCTAAATAGGGACCAAGGCTAAAATATATGAAGGATGGGGTTGTGAATTTTTTAAAAACATTGATTCCTACATACTGAATGTAGAATACCAGAGGGATATCCATAAATCTCTAAAACAGACATAGAATGCATAATAATATATGTGAACTTCTAATGTGAATAACAAAATTATACAAAAAACAATGACTTCGGTATATGAAGGATGGTGTGGGAGATGTCATACTATAGCTAAAAATGAAGTGTGGGAAATGTTTATTATATGTATAATGCCACATTACTTCCTATGTAATAATGAATGAGAGGACACCAAAAAGATATCCATATAAATCTATAACAAACAATCTTAATAGATTGCATAATGGTGCATAAACATCTAATGAAAAAAAACAAAGACCGGTATAAAGCAAATGATACAAGAAACAATAGCTGGAACATATAAAGGATGGTGTGGGAAATGTTTTAGTGAAACTTATAAACATGGTGTGAAAAGGTTTACTTATGTGTACCGTATATGATAAATAGGGACCATAAAGCTCTGTATCAAACAAACTATAATTGCATAGTGGTGCATAAACCTTCTAATGCACTAGCCTTGGCTATATAATTTGAGTTTGAAGCGCAGTGCTATTTTCTTTTTTCCTATTTTGGGTGTACTCACCTATTAAGCACAGCTGCTTTTAGAGTGTTATTTGATTCCTAGCGCATTTTCTTTCTATCTAAAATCTCTCGGGTTTACAGAGAATGATTCGTAAAAAGAGAACATATCAAGTGAGCCTCAACACTCTGGGCAAGAATACCTTGTTGATGTCAGAGGTCAGAGGAGAATTGCCAGACTGGTTCAAGCAAGCTGATAGAAAGTCAACAGTAACTCAGATAACCAGTCGTTACATCCGAGGTATGCAGAATACCATCTCTGAATGCACAACACGTCAAACCTTGAATCAGATGGGCTACCGCAGCAGAAGACCACACCGGGTGACACTCCTGTAAGCTAAGAACAGGAAACTGAGGCTACAGTTTGCAAGGCTCACCAAAATTGGACAAGAGAATATTGGAAAAATGTTGCCTGGTCTGATGAGTCTCAATTTCAGCTTTCAATTTCACATTTGGATGGTCGGGTCAGAATTTGATGTAAACAACATGAAAGCATGGATCCATCCTGCCTTGTATTAACAGTCCAGGCTAGCGGAGCTTCGCATCATGGATGTGCAGCTGACAAATGTGCAGCAACTGTGTGATGCTATCATGTCAGTATGACCAAACTCTCTAAAGAATGTTTCCAACACCTTGTTGAATCAATGCCATGAACAAATAAAGCCGTTCTGAAGACAAAAGGGGTCCAACCCGGTACTAGCAAGGTGTACCTAATCAGGTGGCCAGTGAGTGTATATCACACAGGAAAATGAGCACCTGGCTGAGTATGCTTAGTGAGCAAACATAAATCTTTTTTTGCAAACATTCTTAAAGCAAGCCTGTGCTTTGCCCATGCAGAGGTTAAGGATCTTGTTCAAATTAACCCCTTGCCCACAATCAGTTTATTAGCATTGCCCAGCATGATAGTCAGTGCTGGGGATACATTAATAAATATCCTCTTCCTGACAGTAAGCAGCCGGTACTTAGGGGTATAATAAAAAACTATTCACATGGCCGTTCGCCCGGTGATAAATCTGCAAATGTTTGTTCTATGCTGATACATGCCAAAATGAACAGGTATTGTAATTATCTACCCAACATGATTCTAAAGAATTATGTTACTAGTGGCGGTAAATATAGATGAGCAACATAAGAATATCATACTTGGGATGATGGCAAAGGATACCTGGGGCACTCAGTAGAAGTTCTGGGGCATGTGCCCTGGGTGCTAGGGTGTAGCACTCAACTGTAGATCCTCAAATCATCTCTGAATTGGTGCTGACACTGTCTTTAATTCTGGAGGGGGGCTAATTTTGTTCCCCATGGCCCCTGTGTGTGTTGTGAAGCAGTCACCGCTCCAAGCTCATTCCCATGATGAACTACTATCTCAATACAAAATAGTAAACTAAACCTGAGATTGTAGTCCATCCCGGGAGTGAGCTTGGAGCGGTGACTACTTTATAACACACACAGGGACCATGGGGAACACACGTAGCCACCCTCCAGAAGGATGGACAGTGTCAGCACCAATTCAGAGGTGATTGGAGGATCTACAGCCGAGTGATAGACAAATAAGATACATTGTTGTTCATAGTTACGGTACTTGAATGCATTTTTAAGATTTAACTCCGGAGTTTAGTGTCACTTTAAGATGTGTTTCCTTTAAACCAAAGGATTGTGGAAGCCAAGAGTACAATATGCAAATGGAAATGCCACTGGAGACAAGAATATTATGAAAATTAAGACTATCACAGATTGTAAATTGACACATCCTAAATTCTCTTACTTTGTATTTCTGGGTATATGATCATCAGCAGGAGGCCCCATCGCAGTGTGGTGGACGTCGTCTCCATCCCAGCTGCAAAAAGGTTGCTCACCAGCACGCACAAGTTGTCGTTGTGGAAGTACAAGGTAGATTCTGGCTTCCCCTACGCAACAGAAAGGGAGGATGGAATATTAATGGAAATTCACAGTCCAAAGACTCTGTATAGCTTCAAGAAGATGAACCAATTTATTAACCCCTTACTGCCAGCCGTATTCATATACTGTATGTCAGGGCTCAAAATTTCAAGTCCTGAGCTACTAGCCAGGCCTTAAGAGTTACTCGCCACCAGTCGCGCCACCTGACCCCTACCGTGCCCCGCCCTTAACTCCGCCAGGTCAGTGGTGTGACACAGAGATCCTGGATTTCCACTCGCCCCCACGCAATTTTCACTCGCCAATTGCGAGGGGGCGAGTGGAAATTTTGAGCCCTGCTGTATGTGACATTGGACTTTAACACCTTCCATGACGGGGTGTACTTGGTCAGTAAAAATGTTTAGGTCAGTGGTCCGTGTCAAAGTAGTCTACATGAATGACAGGACCAATGGTTTCCCAGCAGAACATTGCTCAAAGCATCACACTGCCTCCGCCGGCTTGCCTTCATCCCATACGACATCCTGGTGCCATCTCCTCCCCAGGTAAGTGACCCACACCCGGCCATCCACATGATGTTAAAGAAGACGTTATTCATCAGACCAGGCCACCTTCTTCCATTGCTCCATGGTCCAGTTCTGATGCTAGGTGCTTTTGGTGGTGCACATGGGTCAGCATGGGCACCCTGACCGGTCTGAGGCTACGTAGCAGCATACGCAACAAACTGCCATGCTGTGTGTGTTCAGACACCATCAGAACCAGCACTAAATCTTTTTTTTAGCAATTTGATATACAGTAGCTCTCCTGTTGGATTGGACTACACAGGCCAGCCTTTGCTCCCCACATACATCACTGAGCCTTGACCACCCATGACCCTATTGCTGGTTCACTGGTTTTCCATCCTTGGACCACTTTTGGTAGATCCTGACCACTGCAGACCGAGAACATCCCACAAGAGCTGTAGTTTTGGAGCTGATCTGTCCCAGTCATCTGGACATCACAATTTGGCCCTTGCCAAAGTTGCTCAAATCCTTACACATGCCCATTATTTCTGTGCCACTGTAATATATCCCCCCCCCACCCACTTCCAGGTGCCATTGTAAGAGATAATCAATGTTATTCACTTCACCTCTCAGTAATAAAAATGTTATAGCTGATCAGTGTGTATGTCATGCAAATACAGTGTAAACATTTTATAATTAGACATATTCACCATATAGTTTTATTCTAGTTAACCAATGCTAAATTTTGCCCAGACATTGATGACCCCGGTTCAGGAGAGACATAAACAAAGCCAAGTATTAGAGCAATCTGTTTGGTAATGAAATGAAAATGAACATTGACTGAGAAAACAGAATTTGTACCTCTTGCTGTTTCGCCAGGAAGACGTCGATAAGGTTTCTTTGGTCATTTACGTCCAGCGTTTTCTTCTGTTTTGTAAACACCTTCCTTATAAAATCTAGCATGTGTTCAATGTTTTCAAAGACTTTCTGATGGCTGCCAGGGAGAAGGCCTATCAGAGTTGGAAACGCGTTGTAAAGCTTAAAGGGAAAAAATAAAAAGCAATGGAAAATGTTGTTGGAACTCAATTCATGTAAATAAATGAATAATGTCTAATGGAATCATCAACTCAGTTTATTACTTTCGACCTTAAAATAATAACATGGACTGTGCTACATGGGTTTATAAAGCATCATAGGAGCCTTTTATTCACAACAACTTTAGAAACATTATAACATAAAAAACAATATATACAATTAAAATTTTACCGAGAGGCAGTCTATTAGTTTCCGTATACACAACTGGGGTCATCCTTAACCTCAGCCATGCCATAAATGCTCAGGGACATTATCAAACTTACCCACTCTTACTTTTCACCGGGGACCTAGCTCCTAGGTGAACCACCAACAACTGGCCAAATGACAGCACCATACCACCAACAGGGCCCATGAAACAATTTGAACTACTCCACAGATGTTCAAAAGACCACTTAACCAACCACACTGTTGTGCCAATCATCCTTCCCACAAATCGAACCTTATATCCATTATATAAAACCTGAAATGTCTGCACCTTCTGAACTAAGGTTCCAGCATTCCCTACAGGACCTACCCTTGTGGCTCCTCCCTGTTGATCTGACCTGCAGCCACCAATACAGTAAGACCTCCACCCAGGGCCCTCCCTTTAATGAGACCGCCTGAGGCAACATCTCTTTGGGTCACGTGGGGGGGTGGTAGGCAGAGTGGAATGGCCGCTCTGCTGCACAATGTTTTCAGAATGCCTGCTTCTTCCTTTCCGGCCAGAGCACCCCAGCTTGCTAAGAGCTAAGCAGGGAGATGTGTAAGGGCCATATACATCTTCCCACCCAGCTCTTAGCAACCTTGGATGCTCTGGCCAGCGTCCCACCCAGCTCCTGGCAACCAGTGACATCACTGGTCACCAGGACCTGGACAGTACACCAGACAGAGCATTGCAGAGTTTTTCTCTGATTGCATGCACCAGCCCCACCACACCCCCCTTCCCCCCGCCTCTGGTGCCAAAAAGGCCAGGGATACCACTGCCTCCACCCTAGTCAATTTTAAACTCACATCCTAAAATGTTCCTCACACTTCCCTTCGTCATGCAGACCTTCTATCAATTTTTCTTTGGGTCTCACTCTACTGTGCTGCAATATACTGTACATATTTCTTGTCATGAATTATGAACATTGTCACTTTGTTACATTAATTGAACTTCACTGACTCTAAGATATTTCCTTATAATTTGGCACTGCAACTATACACTTTAGAAACCTCTTACAAATGGGGATTGCAACACTCATCTCAGCAAGGAGTGCGAACAATTTTATACAGCCACAAAAGAGACGGCTTATAAGGGCTGCAATCTGGTTTTGACTAGGCCATTGCCACCCTGGAGTGCGGTCATCTGGGACTTGACCCAGATGATGGAATTCCCCAAGGTGGGGCTTTATTGCAACCATAAGGCATCATTTACAGGGGTGAGGCTTAGCATCCTGAATTATGCCACGTCTGTTGGAATGGGCGCCATCTTTTGGCAGGTGGCATCCTTAATAGAAACATCTTGCCTATATTTAAGGCGCCCAGCGGCTCCCCGCAAAACGACTCTGCCACAATACATATGGGGCATGGGTTGTTGGGTTTACCTATGATTAATCCCTGGGGTTGGCATTCACTTCTATCCTAGCCAGAACAGCTATTCTCTTTTCTCTTTATCTCATCTCTGTTATTCTTTTAATTTCTACATGTCTATCAGTACACATTAATGAGCGTGAAGTGGTGGTTTATTTATTAATTTTTACTGCTTTTCAAAAAGTTGAACTTTGGCCCTCCATAACTATTTACAATTAGTTCTTATTTCATGGTTGGTGTTTTTCCTAACCAATATCTATGCATGGAAGGTAGTTTTCATGTCATAATTAATGCCCTCTTTACCATCTTGTCTTGAATTGCATTGTGATTGTAATGTCTTCCTTATATTGTAAAGCGCTGCACAAACTGTTGGCGCTATATAAATCCTATGTAATAATAACCAATAATGATAGGGTTGGCTGTCATCTTGTAACTCAGAAGCCAAATACCGCACATATTTGTAAACTCCAGTTGTTTTCTTTCCTCCATCTTCCATCAATTGAGGCCACTTGTGACTACGGGCTGAGATAGACAACCAAACACTAACCACTATTGGGACTGAGAGTCAATCTGACAGGTAATGAAACATGTACCAACTGTAGCAGCCATTGTTGCCTTTGATAAGCCAAGCTGAGCATTCAGTTTATGTGCCCCAAGGGTAGGGAGGTGCTGAAAGGCAGTCTAATGATTCCAACTCTGCTGACTGTCCTCCTATGTTGATAGGTACCCTAATCATTTAAGATTCTGTCTCACATGTCTTAATGGATTGTAAAGTCAACAAAAGCTCAGCCTTTGATCCATGGACATTTGAACTAGGGAGAGGAGGCTCAGCCCTGATGGTTGCACTTACTCTGATCATGATACTTCCGAAGATCCTGACATTTTCATTAATTGTACGCATAAGTTTCAGTATGGTTGGGTCATCATATTCAAATCTGTTACCCAGTAGTATAGACACGATTATGTTAGCTACAGCAGCAGTGATGATGGTCTGATTCTCAAAGGGCTTCCCTAAAATAGAGAATATAAACTTGAAATAACTAAGTTAATTACAAATCTGAACACATTTTTTTTTTAAACCAACAGAATTATCTTGGGGTAGTGGTCAAGAACAGACATGTGGGATTCATTTCGTTCCGAATTGAATTTCAGACGAATTTTCAGAAATTCGGACATTCGGATCCATCCGAGAACCTACACAGACATGTAGAACACCAGTACAAACTGACCTTTGTAGGATCTGAATTCCTGAATTAAACATTGCGCTTCCTCATTAATTTTGTTTTCTATAGATCTCTTTCCCATTCCAAAATCCCGTAAAGTTGAAATTGTAAACCTTCTCATTGCCTTCCAGTTCTCTCCATTTGAAAAGATTAAACCTGAAAAGAATTGAAATTTTTAAAGATTTATCTAGGCTGAGCACTTGCAGTTGTCTTGACTGAATGACTTTAAAAGTCAATAATTATTCCCTATTTCAACCCCTTATACCTTAATAGACTAAGTTCTAAAATGGAATTTTTCTCCACCTATGTATCCCTTCATATATTAGACTTTATATATTAAAGTGTATCTACACCCAAGAACAAAAATATACATATTGCAGCTTACGAGTCGTTAGATGTGGTGGCTGCATTAGTTTTAGTAGGCTTTTTTTTTTTGCCAATAGCACACTTCCTGTCCTAGGGTGACAATATTTGTACACTGTACCCCATTGTCACCCACAAGTGGGAAAGCTAATAACATTGTTCGAGATATCAGTTTATTGCACAGGAAGTTATGAGGACACTGGATTTCTAGAAAGTAAAAAAATGTACTTAACCTAAGAAAAATAAAACTAATGCAGCCACCACATTTACAGACTGGTAAGCTGCAATATACACAATTCTTCTTCTTGAACTTATTATATTTTTATTACCATATAGCTACACAGATTGTAAGTAATTCATCTAACGTATTACTACCCTATACCCTAATAGATTGTAAGCTCTTCCACTTTGTCTATTACACCCTCATGCCATATTAGATTGTAAGCTCTTCCACCATCTGTATCATCCCTTATACCCAAATAGACTGTAATCTCTTCCACAATCTGTATCATCCCTTATACCCAAATAGACTGCAAGCTCTTCCATCAACTGTATTATCCCTTATACCCTAATAGACTGTAATCTCTTCCACCAACTGTATCATATCTTATACCCTTAATAGAGTGTAAGCTCTTCTACCTTCTGTTTCCTCCCTTATACCCAAATAGACTGCAAGCTCTTCCACCTTCTGTATCATCTCTTATACCCTAATAGACTGCAAGCTCTTCCACCATCTGTATCATCCCTTATACCCTAATGGACTGTAATCTCTTCCACCATCTGGATCATCCCTTAGACCCTAATAGATTGTAAGCTCTTTCACCATCTGTATCATCCCTTATACCCTAATAGACTGCAAGCTCTTCCACCATCTGTATCCTCCCTGATACTCTAATAGACTGTAAGCTCTTCCCCCCCCTCTGTATCCTCTCTTATACCCTAATAGACTGTAAGCTCTTCCACCTTCTATATCCCCCTTATACCCTAATAGATTGTAAGCCCTCCCCCACCCCCCTGTATCCTCCCTTATACCCTAATAGACTGTAAGCTCTTCCACCTTCTATATCCCCCCTTATACCCTAATAGACTGCAAGCTCTTCCACCATCTGCATCATCCCTTATACCCTAAGCTTTGCCACCTTTTTACATTCTTCCTTATACCGTAATAGATTGTAAGCTTTTCTACCTTCTGTATTACCTCAATATACCCTAATTGATAGTAAGCTAATGTAACATAATGTATCAGCATATTTATATCCTGAATGGAGCTCTTTCTAATGCATAACATTATATAGCATAACAGTCCATCAGCCTATTTTAAAACTGTAGGGCTTGTTTTTTATAGAACATTTTGGGATTTACCATTTCCTTTTGATGTTCTAGCAGACAATGCATTTTGGGGTCTTGCATAAAAATCCTCTGCCTGGTTGATAAGTGCTTCTTTTACAGCATCATAACCACATAAGACAACCAGTTTCTCCGTAGCCAGCTTGATGCTAAACACGGGGCCGTACTTCTCCGACAGCTATAAAAAAGAATGCAACTAAAACAAATCAGATATGGAGAAACATTATGGAAACCATGACATTTACATGTTTTTAGGTATCCACAGGAAGATATTAGTGGAGGCAGAAAACAGAATGTCTTTTGGGATGTGTGTTGGTGTCTACATCACCAACAGCCCTTGGATGACCATAATTGTGATTGAATATTTCCACATGTCAGATAATGATTGAAAAGAATTGATGGAATGTAATGCCATTTTTTTTAAAGACAGCCTCTCACTTTACCTTATTTGGGTAGAGAGCTTTTCGTTTCTTTTAATTTCTTTAAGCTGTATTTTATAGAGCCTTGGTCCTCAACTGGTGAGTCGTGATCCAAAAGTGGGTCGCAACCCTGTGTTCAGTGGGTCACCGCATGCCTTCCACTTTTCTAGGTGAGAGGCTCCTCTGCCTACCCCTAGTGCAGCGCTGTCATTTCTTGTGCCAAGCAGCCATTTAAAATATACTGCTCGGTGACGAGAGTCAGCTTGAGGTGGGGTGGGCTGGGGGTATTGCCGTGAGGGAGCTCCATCCATACATGCATTGCTTACAACTCCCTTGCATGTCCTGTAGAGGTGCCTGGACCAGAATTACATCACATTCTGGCTCTCTGCACCTCTACAGGGCATGCAAGGGAGTTGTACAGGCAATGCATATATGGATGGAGCTCCAGCACAGCAGCCCACACTGGACACCAGACTGAGGATCTACTCAGTTCTCGTAAGGTAGGGAGACTGGTGGAAAAAAAGAAAGAACATTTTTTTATGGGAGTGTGTCCGAGTGTGTAAGATTGTGTCTGTCAGTGTTTTTGAGGGCTCATTCACACTAGTACAGTAAGTGAATCGCACAGTTCCGTGCAATTATCGCACTGTACAATGCAAATCGCATCTACTATGCGTTCTGGAGTGGGAGGCGTATTGTGTTTCCTTTCATTTGAATGGCACCCCAAACGCATCGCCAGCAATGCCGTGCGTTCCATTGCAGTGCGATGGTTCGCGACTTAATGATCAAGGACAAATATGGGTGCAGAGGTTGCACAGGTTGAGAACCACTGTTAAAGAGGACGGTGTCTCCATACCTTGCCATGAAAATGGTCAACAACTTTGAAACAGTAAAATGTAATACAAGTCCCATAATGTTTACAAAGAACGGCAGAATGAATGCTTTATTACCTTCATAAATGCATGGTGAGGTTTTTGTAGATCAATCAAATGCAAGCTTCCAATGAAGGGTAGAGGCTTTGGCCCTGGAGGGTAGTTTTTGTATTTTTGGCTTTTCTGGTCTTTATATGTTTTGACCAAAAATAAGACGACTATGATGGACAGAAGAATTGTCATGGGATCCATGGCACACTTGTCTTCAAGTCTAGTGAGAATGGGGACACAACATAGATGGTTAACATGAAGAATGGCACATTGTACTAAAAAAAAACAGTTTGTTTTAGTATAGTGAAAAAGGGTCAGAACTTTTCACAATCTCCTTATTATTCTACGTGCCTACCTACCTGTCGTGTTGACAACTGCACCCCCATTTCTTATACAGGTGTCACAGGCATCTTAATTCTCCCCCATTTCATACCAAAATAAGAAATAATTTGGCTAAAGTTAGACTTCGAATAATGTTTGTGTCACATTAAGGTGATTTCTCCTGATTCCCTATTGTTCCTGAAATCAGTCACTTGACCCAGAAATGAGGTGAACCCTTCCCCACTGTATTAGAAAATGTGTTCATTAATTAGAGGGGTTTTCTCAGATTTCCTGTTCTTTCTGACAACTAACCAATACACAGGAAGTGAGCAGAAATTCCATATGGGAACAGGGGCAGATATTAAAAGTTAATAAAGGTTCTAGCCCTTTCCCAATTCATCTAAAGCTTTTACATTGGATCCCTTGGAAAAGCATCTGTTGGTGTATAGGACTGGAAAGTAGTTACTTTTTTTGGTTATGTTATTCTTTATCTGCTTGAAGTGTGAGTGCTACTGTGCACTCGGTTTTGAAGTCAACTTTACATAAGGCAATATTTTTTTAAGGACAGACAAAACATTTCCGAACAGATAATGATAAATAGCAGAAAGGCTTCTAGACTTTTATAGCTATATATCCATAAGGAAGAGGAGTACTGGGCTAGGTTCAGGGGGAATTAGCCCCTAGGACAAGTAGTAATTAGACATGTTGGGTTGGTGGCCCTGGGTTGAGACACTTTACTATTCGGACAACAATCAGGGGGAGACCCACATCCAGTGACATGTTATTTTATTGGTTATGTTATTATTTATCTGCTTGACGTGTGAGTGCTATTATGCACTCGTTTCTCGAGTCAACTTTGCGTAAGGCAATATTTTAGTGATAAATAGCAGAAAGGCTTTTAACCTTTTATAGCTATATATCCATAAGAAAGAGGAGTACTGGGCTAGGATCAGGGGGAATTAGCCCCTAGAGCAAGTACTAATTAGATGTGTTGGTGGCCCGGAGTGGAGACAGCTCACTGCTCAGACATCAATCAGAGGGAGACCCATAGTCAGTGACACATGCTGAGCATTATTCAGCTACCTGCCCTTTCAGACCCGTGATGCCAAAATTTGGCATAGGGACGTTTTCCAGTACCAACTTCCTATTCAGTTTATGCCACGTGGACAAATGCCAAGAGCTTAAAAGAAAGCTGATGCTGGAAGATTTGTGCAAATGTATGTCACAAAAAACATTTAGGAACACCTACCTTTATCCATGCTCAACAATCATTGAGACAACCACGGAACCCTTTGTGTAATGCACTTTTAGCCACTAGCCCACATAAACCTGTCACTACCACATGGCCACTTGGCTTTATTTGCCCCTCACAACAAGGTTCCCAGTCGTTCCCTACAAAAGGAGACTCTTTACTTTCAAGGCAGGTTAAATGGTCCTCTTGCTACTGGTGGAATCTCAAGCACCCAATTAAATAGAAGTTTTATTTGCAATGTGATGCTTTTTAAGAACTTCTACACTACAGTCTGGTCAGAACATTTGATAATGCCTTCAGAGACTTAGTTTGAAATTTCATTTGATTTCAAATTAGATTTTGGAATGAATGGAGTTTCCCGAACAAAAACCCAAATTCCCCGTTAGACTTTTGTTGGTTCGAGAAAAATTTTCCATCCTGCTCCTTCAATTTCTTTTGTCAATATGGTCAAAATTGACCATCGAATTTACCCTATTAACATTTAGAAAGTCGAGCGAACATTGTGAACAACTTTTTTCTAGTACACCATACTGGCCATACACCAGTAGAATTTTCTACTGGCGTATGGCCAGCATATGGCTTGTTTTCTTCTAAAAGAATTTAGAGGTACTTTTCTCATTACAGCACTGAGATGACTCTAGTGATAGAGAGATAATGAAGGCAGTTCTTCATTTACAAATTGGACATAATAAATTAATCAACAATCAGAATAGAAAAGGGTAAAAATCTGCAAAAGAATTGCTAAATTAATCTATGCTCTGTGCCTATATTTCATCCAGGTCAGACCCTGGGAGGCACTCTTGGTCCAAAGTTTGCTTTCAAAGGCTGTTATTAAATAGTGAATGCCTGTTCTCAGTTACAGCTTGGATTTCCCTATACAAATATTGTGCTGTGAAGCCATCAATACAACAGGCTTTGCTTGCATGACCATTGTTTGCTTCCATCTCCTCCTCTTAACCACATTACAAATCCCCAGTACTACATAACATGGTGAGATTATATACGTCTGTCTCTTAACATAGGAACTCTCTCAAGCTGAGTTACAGATTGCAGCTTTCTTCTACCAGAAAATAATTTTACTACATACTACAGTATTATATGTCTACATACAAGTGGAATAGAAAAGACAAACGTACAGTAATCAAAGTAACAATTCTACAGATCCTAACCCTCACTGCCGGAGATCTGGAGAAAGGTCGGGCTCTTCTTAGATATCCTTCTCTGTTTACTTGCCTCGTATACCTGTGTGTGGAGCTTCTGAGATGTCCTTTTCTGTTTTCCTGCCTCGTATACCTATGTGTGGAGCTTCTTAGATGTCCTTCTCTGTTTACTTGCCTCGTATACCTGTGTGTGGAGCTTCTGAGATGTCCTTTTCTGTTTTCCTGCCTCGTATACCTATGTGTGGAGCTTCTTAGATGTCCTTCTCTGTTTACTTGCCTCGTATACCTGTGTGTGGAGCTTCTTTGATGTCCTTCTCTGTTTTCCTGTCTCGTATACCTGTGTGTAGAGCTTCTAAGATGTGCTTCTCCGTTTTCCTGCCTTGTATATCTGTGTGTAGAGCTTCATAGATGTCCTTCTCTGTTTACTTGCCTCGTATACCTGTGTGTGGAGCTTCTTTGATGTCCTTCTCTGTTTTCCTGTCTCGTATACCTGTGTGTAGAGCTTCTTAGATGTCCTTCTCTGTATTCCTGCCTCGTATACCTGTGTGTGGAACTTTATTAACAGAACCTGTTGATGTTTGACTTCAAAAGCCTACACCTCCCCTCCTCCTCTTTGGCAATAAACACACATCAAGCAGTACATTGGCCTACAGAGTGTTGACCAAGCAGAACATTTTGTTACCGTTCCATAAATTCTTCTCATTGCATTTTTTTTTTTTTTTTACTTTACTGTTTACTTCCATGTGCATGCAGTGCGAATGCTAAGGCAAACGTGTAAGTGCAAATGGGCTCATAGAGTTTTGCTATTTGATTCACACTAAACTGCAATGCACAGATGTGAAGCAGCCACATAGGAAAGAATGGGATTTCTCCTAGACATGCATTTTCATGCAGCAACACGAACAAGTGCCAATAGGCGATTAGGGTATTTATTTTAAATTTTTCAGACAAAATTTGAAATTTTAGCAGTCTGATGAAGTCTGTAAAAAACAGTATTTCTGTATCTCCAACTGCAGTTTTTATATGATGTAATGGCATGAAAGCAGTCTTGCCCAATCTGAACATTTAGTATCTGGGTGCACCTTTAGGAACAATTCCCACCTCTGCTCTTTTCATTCCATAAAGTGTACTTTTTAAGAATTTTGCACATTTATTACAGGCTTAACCAATGATCCCTTGGGGAAAATCTGCTTGATCAGTTCATCAAAGATACATCAATCATGTTTGTTTTTTTAACTCCTTGCTGCTAACCTTTTAGGGCTCATTGGAATCGTGCTACGTGCTGGGCCTATGGAGCAGCTCCCAGGAAGGACAGGTGCTGTGTGTGATTAGTACGCGGCCCCGTCCTTCTCTATGGGACTACGCAGCCGTACGCCCCCTATGCTCACCAGTCCTGCACGTCCGTGCGGTTACGGGTGATCGTACTCTGACAGGATGGATCCTGTCTGCGTCCGAGACAGGAAACACGTACGGCCGCGTAGCCCCATAAAGAAGGACAGGGGCTGCGTACTAATCACATGCAGCACCTGTCATTCCCGGGAGCTGCCCGATACGGCCCTGCACGCAGCACGGAGCTGTACGTGCGGGCCGATTCCAGTGTGAATGAGGCCTTAAAAGTACCTCAATGGCAAGAGGCAGGGTCAGGCTCCTGATCATGTTACCATTTCCAGCCAATCTCATGTGCCAAACCCCAGGAACATATCAAGCGACCAGGAGCTGATGATGACAGCTCGGTCACTGTGCTCGCAGCACAGCGAGTACGCCTCCATCACAGAACAGTGGACAGAACTCAACATCTTGCCACCATATATATGTATTAACTGCTAAGCAAATAATTGAAAAGACACCCCATTAACACACACAGTCCATACAATAAAGTCTCTAAGGCTCAATACAAAGCTTTACAAAGTATCTTTATTTTCAGTCATGTGTCTATACTTATTAAATCTAATTTTAATAACTATAAAGATGACAGTTATTTACCAAATACTATTTGATTAATAACTGTCACTTTAAAAAAAAAAAAGATTTCTTTAGCCATTTTAGTTTTGTGAGTTCAGCCACTCATATGCCGCAAATGCTGATGTCTAGTTAGCCTCTAGAGGGCCCATCTGTACCGCACTGCCTGCATGAACATATGGAACAGCAAGCATAAAAAGATACACAGCCACAACTTAAAGCTCCGGAATTTTGGTAAATAATAGACATGTACACTGCCAAAAAATGTGTTTAGTTTCGTTTCTTTTTAAATTCGGATTTGTGTTATTTCGTTTTTCGGGATTCGGGTGTGACAGTCAATTCGGACGAAATTCGTTAGCGTTAGTTCGTTCGAACGGTCGTTTCGTTTTCGTTTCGTTCATCCGTTCGTTCGTTTGCAGCAAAGTGACATTTGAGGGGGAAAAATGTTTTTCTCCTCTAATGTCACTTTGCTCCAACGAACGAAACGAATAAGAAACGAAAACAAAACGAACGTCCAAACGAACTACCGCTACCGAATTTCGGAAATGGAAATTCGTATTCGTTTGCATTCGTTATGTCTGTAATTCGGAATTCGGATACATCCGAATGTCCGTATTTCCGAAAATTCGTCCGAATTTCGATTCGGAACGAAACGAATCACACACGTCTAGTAAATAATACCCTTGCAGTGGAACTCCCACCACCCCACACCACAAGGGTTAAGTGTTCATTAAGTCTAAAGGTAAAGGAATAAGCTGTAAAGAACCCAGGCAGAAAAACCACAGCATTTTCTGATTTTTATTTTTTATGCCTCTGAGTGCAGCTCTGTTTCAGCCAAGGTGTGCATGCACTTTGTGGCGTTTAGACCCGTATTTTAAAGCAGCAAAAAAAAAATTACAAATCCCCAAACCTGTGTTCAGGGAGGAGCTTACGGGCATAATTTACAAGTATACGCATGTACAAGCACCAAAATTAATTCTAGTGGCTAGCCAATAGTATGAGGTTATGTGAAAATGCCTCTAAAACGCATATAAAATACAAATAATTATGCGCCAAACATTTTTTGACAGCTTCTGGCATAAAGGTCCAGTGTAGATAGGAGTATTTTAATATGCCTTTAATACACATTACTCCTTGCTCCAGCAGGATGCTGGTGCTCTACTCTTCTCTCCAATGCGCTGGGTTGTGGGCTGGTCTTCGCTGTCAACTGCTCTTCCTGCATTGTAGGTGATGACATCAGAACATGGCCGACCGTTGGGGCATCAAAGAGGCTCCATGGGACCGGACACTCAAGAGTGGTGGAAGCTAGCTGGAGTGAGGAATATATATTACAGCTTATTCCTCCACCCCAAGACCTAAAGCAGAAATGAAGCCATTTTTTATTTCGTTTAACCCCTGTCAGCCACTTCCTTTCCAATAGCTAAAACAGGAAGTGAGAGCATATCACTCTAAACTGAGGGAAATCCTTGGTTTACATTAGAACTAGTGTCCCCATAGGAAGAGTTCTCAACCATTCCTGGTCTGGTGACAATCCAAAATTTGGCGTTTGTACCTGAAAGTGATAATGGTCACCAGAACAAATAGAGAGGTTGAATATCCCGACCAGAGACACAGACAGCAATAAAAACCTGATGGGGATCTAATCCCTCTCTTCTCCATCCCTCCCAAAAAGTTTTGTTTCAGTTGCACTTTAATCATTATTGAAAGAATACCAGCCCCCCTCCAGAAGGAAGGACAGTGTCAGCACCAATTAAGAGATGATTGGAGGATCTACAGCCGAGTGATACACAAATAAGATACATTGTTGTTAATAGTTAAGGGAATTGAATGTATTTTTAAGATTTAACTCCTGAGTTTAGTGTCACTTTGGATAGAAGTTTTGGCTTTGGATAATCTTTGATACCTTTACAATGAAAATCAAAGCAGCCAAATAATTTTACTAAAATGCAACTCGGTGTGATGAAGACTTTTTAATAGCATCCCAAGCAAGTTCAGATGTACTGGCGTCCCCCTAAAAAGTTATTAACACACATATTAGGTACAATGCCACTTTCAAAAATGAGTTTGTTATTAACTTAGTCTCTGCCGTTTACCTTTGGGGTTAAGTGGTTTCAAGAAGTGACAGCTCAGCGGAAATTCATCTTATACATGAGAAGGGGCGAGGACGGGTGAAATGAGTTGTGAAGGAGGAGACTTGGTGTAATCTTGTCTATGGGAATGTTGGACCATTTGTGAGGTCAGGTACTGATGTTGGATGAGAAGGCCGGGCTCGCAGTCTCCGCTTGGCCATGCCCAACCCCTGAAAAACAACCCCATACCATAATCCCACCTCCACCAAACTTTACACTTGGCACAATGCAGTCAGGCATGTACCGTTTTCCTGGCAACCACCAAACCCAGACATGTCCATCGGATTGCCAGACAGAGAAGCGTGATTCGTCACTCCAGAGAGCATGCCTCCAGTGGTGGCGTGCTTTACACGCTTTGCATTGCACTTGGTGATCTAAGGTTTGGAGCTGCTTTGCCATGGAAACCAATTCCTTGAAGCTCTCTATGCGCTGTTGTTGTGCCAATCTGAAGGCCACACGAAGTTTGGAGGTCTGTAGCTATAGACTCTGCAGACAGTTGGCGACTTCTGCTTACTGTGCGCTTCAGCATGCGCTGACCCCGCTGTGTCATTTTACATGGCCTACCACTTCGTGGCTGAGTTGCTATTGTTCCCACTTGCTTCCACTTTGTTATAATACCACTAACAGATGACCGTTGAACAGGGGCGGACTGACAACACATGGGTCCCCCGGGCAATACAATATTATGGGGCCCTCTTGTGCTCCACCCATATACAAGCCCCATCCACAGCCGAAGGGCTGCTGTACGGGCTATTCATAATATTCACAATAGCCCGTACAGCAGCTGAAGGCAGCTGAGCGGCTCAGCCAAGCCGAACCCATAGGCTTCAGCTTGGCTGAGTCGTATTCACAGCCAAAGCAGGGAGAAAGATCAGCCGAAGCCAACTGATCTCCACGCAGACGACAGCTGGGCAGAGCCAGTCGTGATCTCATGGCTGGCTCCGCCCAATTGTAATAACAGATCAGCATCCGCCAAATG